TTTCTTTCTTTCTTTCTTTCTTTCTTTCTTTCTTTCTTTCTTTCTTTCTTTCTTTCTTTCTTTCTTTCTTTCTTTCTTTCTTTCTTTCATTCTTTTTTCGGTACTGGGGATCGAACTCGGGTCCTTGAGCTTACGGGGCAGGCGGTGGAACCACTGAGCTAAATCCCAGGTCCATCTTTTTCTTTTCTTTTCTTTTCTTTTTTGTAGGCAGGGTCTCACTAAGTTGCCTGCGCTGGCCTCGAACTTTTGACCCTCCCGCAGTAGCTGGGCAGTAGCTGGGCAGTAGCTGGGACTGCAGGCGTGCGCCATCACGCCATCCGGAAACGGTGTTTGCAGATGTAAGCAGTTTAATGAAATGAAGTCACGCTGGGTTAAGGTGGGCCTGAAATCTAATGTGACGGGTGTTCTTAGAAGAAGGGACCTGGGGCACAGATACAGGCACGCCAGCGCGCGCGCGCGCGCGCGCACACACACACACACACACACACACACGCAGAGCACCCAGGAAATGATGGAAACTGTCAAAAGCCGGGACGAGGCAAGGATGGACCCTTTCTTAGAGCCTCAGAGAGAAACAGCGTGGGGTGTAACACCTTGATTTCGGCTTCCGGCAAACAGAACTGTGAGCCAATGAATTTCTGTCATTGTAAGCCACCTAGCCAGTGGCACTTTGTCACACGGCAGCCTAGGAAACCGATACCATGAATTAAAAAAAGCAAGAACAGGGGGATTACTACAGCACAACGTTGTTTACGTCAAATGTGAAAACCTGCAAAAGAGTGCCGAGTGTTACTTGGGGTTGCCTATGTGTGAGAGTTGTGAGAGCATGCGTGGTGTAAGCGCATGCGCGGTGATGCTGACCATCGAACACAGGGTGCTGAGAAGGGGTTGGATATGAGCACCTACCGGGCTTCAAAGACACTGTTGAATCTTTGATTTAAGCAACTTGGGTCACAAATGGGAAAATATTTTATTTTTCGTTTTTTTGAGACAGGAACTCACTATGTAGTCCGGGCTGGCCTTGAACTATGTAGCCCAGGCTGCCCTCGAACTCACAGCAATCCTCCTGCCTCAGCCTTCCGAGTGACAGGATTACAGGCATGAACCACCACACGTGGCTGGGAAAATAGTTTACATGGTTGTATACTGGGCACAAAAGAAATGGATGGCATGAGAAGACACTCAAAGCCATTGTCAGTCAGGAAAGTAAAAATCAAAACTGCTAGGAAATCTCACTTCGGGCTGGGACTGTAGCATCAGCTGACCTAGTTTGAAATTCTGAGCTCCATCTCCAATACCATAAGACACAATAAAATAAAACTCCCTTCATATCCTCGAAGCTGGCCATCATACCAAAGACAGATGCAACAAGGGTTGGCAGGGATGTGGTGACATTGGAGCCTTTAATGCTGCTAATGGTAATGTTGCATGCTGAAGCTGCTCTGAAAAACCGTTTGAAACCAGGTGTGGTGGTACACGCCTGCTTGTAATCCCAGCACTTGGGAGGCCGAGGCAGGAGGATTGTTGTGAGTTTGAGGCCAGCCTGAACTGCATAGTGAGACCCTGTCTCCAAAAAAAGAAAAAAAAAAATTATGTACTTAAATGAATAAATAAACTGGGTGTGGTGGTGTATATCTGTAAAGGGTGCAGATCTTTGGGAGGCTGATGGAGGAGGATTAAAAGTTTGAGCCTCGGCTGGGAAACATAGTGACTAAACAAGATTTTGTCTTCCAATAAAAATATATAAAAAGGGCTGAGGCTATAGCTCAGTGCATAGGCCCTGAGTTCAATCTGAAGTACCACACACAAAAAAATAAGTACAGTGGTGTATAATATTCCATACAATGGAATATTACTTGGGAATTAGAAAATTGAAATTCTGATACATGCTATAGCATAGATGAACCTAGAAAACAGGATGCTAGGCCTCTGTCTTGCTCTTGCAGGGCCTATGTTCTCTTCCTCTTCTTCTTTCTTTCTCTCTCTCTCTCTTTTTTTTTTTTTTGGTTTTTTGAGACAGGGTCTCACCATGTAGTTCAGGCTAGCCTCGAACTCACAGAGATCCTCCTGCCTCTGCTTCCTGAGTACTAGCATTACAGAATTGCTCCACCACGCCCGGCCCGTCTTCCTCTTCTTTAGTATTTCTTTTTCTTCTTTTACTTTTAAATAGATGTTAAACTTTTACTTTAAAAAAAAGAAATCATGATGCTAAGTGAAAGAAGCCAGTTATAGAATACCGCATATTGTGTAACTCTATTTCTATGAAACAACCAGAATAAGTCAATTCATAGAGACACAAAGTACAGTGAAATAGGGCTGGGGTGGAGAGGGGAAGTGTGTGGGGAAATAGGAATTGACTACTAGTAGGTTTCTTTTAGGAATGAAAATAACTTTTAAAATAGATTCTATCCGGCCTGGTGGCACAGGCCCATAGTCCCAGCAATCAGGAGGCTGAGGCAGGAGGATTGATGTGAGTTCAAAGCCAGCCCGAATGACATGGTGATATCCTATCTCAAAAAACCCAATAAATAAAACAAAATGGATTCTAATGATTGCAGAATTCTGTGAATTCACTGAAAATATGAAATTGTACAGTTTAGGTAAATGGTGTGGTAATACACATACGTTGTAACCCAATATGTTAAATGAAACGCAGAGGCTAGGACTTCAGAGTAACCACTAGAGGGCGCGCCGGGCACAGACTAGCCTCCCTTGGGACGGGAGTTTAGCGGGCTTCTCTGGCCCCGCCCCTAAGGCTCTGACCCCGCCCCCGCCGTTGGCACACCCGAAGGCAGTCTGAAGCAGCACGCTCGCACTTGTACTCCCCAGACTGACCACAGATGCCTGCAGACCTAGAAACTCTTAGCAACACAGATCCTTAAAAGCCCTAGACTTTGTTCCCAGCTCCACAGAAACAAAACAACAACAACAAAAACCCAG